CTATAGGGCTATTATCTTTTTAGTACGTGGTGATATTGCTGTCACTGTGGTGTGCTTCAGCGATTTCAAAGGTGCTGGGTTGAAATTCCAGTGCTCAATACCCCAAAATTATTTTAGACTAGAGTAAAGAACACTGGATCAGAATGCATCAGTTATCTATCCTTAGCTACAGATCCCCATCTGAAAGACCTGGGATGCTTCTTTGTATGTTTACTCTGACCCAGAAGCAAAACCTCCATCTGGTCTACCATGTGGTCTAGCCTGGCAATCTGGAACTCCAGAGTGCAGTATGCTGGGGTAATTGTGTTTAATCTCCAGGGGATCTCTGTCCCTTGCTTCTGCTTTGACAAATACCACAGAGCTTTATGCTAAATTTTATGTTTTTCTCTGACTGATGGAAAACTCAAACAAGCTGGCATTCTGATGAGCAAGTACACTCTCCATAAGCTAGGGAGTTTTTGTTTGACCTAAAGATCTTTTCTCTACTTATTCTTGTTTTTTAATTTGTGTGATGGTCCCAATTTAAGAGCTACCAAACCATAGATTTTATTTTATTTTTATTAGTACTGTTTATGTTTTAAACGTAAATGTTAAGGGTTCTAACTATTTTTTTCTGAATGGCAATTTACAAAACTTAAGGAAAATTTGTGATTAAAAAATCTTTATCAGAGTAGGAAATACTTTCCTTAAGGCTAATTAAATTGACTAATTAAATTACTAAAAAATTAGTAATTTTTCCTGGCAAAAGAAATATTAGGGATAGTTAACCAAGAAAGTGGGTAGTTAACAAGAACTATCTCAAAAACATCTGAGTTTAGTAAAATGGACATGACATCATCTAGGATATTCTGAAGAACTGGCTTGTATTACATCATTTACAGTTTGAGAAAGTTAAAAATTCCAACACTATTTTGTCTGCTAACCAAATGTTATATTTTGACTGTCTCCTCCTTTGCCACGTCACCTATTCCAAGAATCACCTGCAGAAATAAATCAGCTTTTGTTTCACTTTTACCCAATCAACTCTTTGTAGGAAATATTCAAGAACAGATTCCAAATATCCAAACATAATGAAAATAAGCTATCAATTAAAAATACCAATTTTAAAAAGCGATGGTAAGTTGGGCTTGTGATTTCTTCAGATTATTCCTTTTTCACTTATTCCTATTTCCTTAAGGATCTTTTCATTTCTAAAGTCTCACAACTGACTTAAATCTCTGGTCCGCCCAGACAAAGAACATGAGTTCTGGAAAAAAATTCACCGTACTAGGAATCTAATCAAACAAATGGGATGATTCATGGAATTCTTCTTATGATAAGAGTATCCCAAATATTGGGCTCAAACTCATGGTCTTATGGGTCTGATTGTGACTACAACTTACCAGGCAATCTCCTCAATAACATTTGAGATCCCTAGCTTAGTTTAGAAAACAGAGGATAGACATTGGTAATTAGGAAGAAAATGTTCAAATGAGAAGGGAAATGAGGAGGGAGAAGAGAGGAAAGTGGAGATTTTTTAAAATAAAGGAAATCAATAGAAACAAAATTTTGTAAGTGGGGAGGGGAAGAATAATTGAAGGAAGGAGAGAGGAATGAGGAAAAATTAAGATATGTACAGGGTCAAACTCCTATGATGAATGCGATTATTATGTATGTCAAAAATGTGGCAATAAAATCAATTAGAAAAACCTCAAGTACTTTCAACCTTGGTAATATTTGCACACAGACTATCTCTGCATACTCTCAAGTGTGTAAGTTCCTATCAAATGTGCTTGGGTGTGCTTTTCTGAGTGTTTTGTTTGCTTTGTATCCAAAGGAAAAAATAACTGGAAAGACACATGTAACTCCAGATCATAGGAAGTAAAATATATAATGAAGTAAAAAATATAGTGAAGTCTTCTTAAGATAATTTCTTCAATGAAGATATTGAATTTTTAAAGAAAGACCAATAGAATTAGATTTGGGAATTAAGACTGCTACTTATATGTCTCTGAAGAAGGCAGTATATTTTTTGTCAGAATTTTTTTTTAAATTATTATTCTATATTTATAGCTTATTCACCTAAAAGCTATCTGTAAGAAATTACTTCTGAAGACTTATTTGCTAGGTTTTGCAAAATGTCATTTTACAAGGAATTCTGATACTTAAAATACCTTAATTATACTTCAAGATAGATACCAGCTATAATTATACTTCTAAACAATAGTTGCTCTTTGTGATGAAGTATAATATTTTAAAATATTCCTCATGATATGAGAAAAATTTAAGCAGCAAGATATATTTTTAGTATTTTCCTGCTAACTTTCCAAATATTTTCAAAGGAGATAAAGACTTTTCAAATATGACAAATGTGCTTGTAGCAAAAAGCCTGGGGTTGCCTTAGAAGACAGGAATGAACTGAGGTAATACTGCACCATCTTAGAATATACTTTTGCAAATGACAGAACTTCAAATTATCTGTAGAAAAGGCAATATATTAAGCAGATAGTATCTTAACTGATGTCAAGATGAAGTAAAACCAGCAGACATGTAGGGGATGAGAACCAGGCCACAGGGCCTCCTAGAGTGTGATACTCCTGGACTGTGACTCTCACAATCCATCATAAACAGGTAAAAACAGTGAACCTGGTTATTTCCATCCATTCTAACATGAATTGGCTCCTCATGCCAGGATGGACTCCTGATTAAATTACAATATGGCTGGGGATGTTTAGAGGATAAACACAATTTTGAAATGTGTGTAAAACTGAAAGAATAACTGATATGTATAGTACAATCATTAAAATAACTAGATGTTGGATCATACAAAGATAAAAGCTAACACTTGCTTAAATAAAGCTCTGAATTTCTGTGCCAAAGTTTTAATTAATGTATGTAAAAATCAAAGCCTGACGCTGACATTCTTTTGTTAAAAGGGCATTTAAAAGCATATTTTGGAAGTCTTCAACTAATATACTTAAGCTCTAAAGTAAACTGAACACTTATATCAAAGAGCACACGTTGTTGCTAAAGCATGTGAGAGTAATTAGTAATAATAGTTACTGCTTTAGGAGACTGGTTGTAAAAATCATTGTACATACTTCCTTAGGATTTAGTAATCCTAAAGCTTAGTACCCTTAAAGCTATTCCAAACCGACAAATATGTAAACAAAATACCAAAACCAGACCAAATAGATCTATTGAAAACTTTATTTTTCTTAGCATTAGTAAATATGTATTGACAAATTCTCAAGGCACTGAATTCTGAGATAATAACTTTCAGTAAAATTTTAAAATCTAGATAGCACTAAAAATAATCATACTATATATAGTAAAGAGAAAATAATCAGTACGCCTGCTGGAGTATTGGTATCCTAACTTTCAACAGCTGAGCCACAGAGAAGCCTCTGCTCTGTTTTTCCCTCAAGTTTCATCTCTCAGAATGGTACAACATTGCTTCCTTCTATGCATGATTTTACCTGCAGCAGCAATTTAAAGATTCAACTAAAATTATCAGTAGTCTTCTTCCCTGTCCGCTCCTTTAAACCTCGTTTTCAGTGGAACCAAATTGACCCCCAAAGATGCACTTCCAGTTCAAGTCCTTTATTAGTTTTCCAGTACCAACAGGACAAATCCAACACTCCTGTAATCAAGGAGTGCAAATTCTTTCTTGTCCAGCCTTTCTGTGGTTCCTTTACTGACCACATATATCTCCTTCCATTCTGAGTCTTGTAGGTGAGAAAATGCTTGTCACTGCTATCCAGCTAGTGCTTGCAGGCTTTTCTCCTGCTCTCTCTCTAACGACTCTTCACTACTCTTCCCATCCTTCTTTATCTCAGCAGTGACTCAATTTCTATGAAAATTTCATACCAAATAGAGTGAAAATACCTCCCAAAGTGTTCCATACATGCTTCAATCACACTATTTATGAAATGATACCTGGAACTTACTAGGTTGTGAGTCTGTATCTCCACTGAATTACTGGCCAGCTCCCCACTGTAGCATCAGTGCCTACTAGAAACTACACATGCTAGACTCATGGAATAGAATGGAACATCTGATTTTGTTATACATTAGTCCTATTTCCAACAATATACTTAATAAACTATTTCCTAGGAAACTCAAAACTCCAATAAATCCATGAAACGTAGTAACTAATTGTTTTTAAGAATATTCATCTGCTTGAATAAAGTGAATTCAATCATTTAATTTTTCTTAATAGTTTGCCTCAAGAAACTATCTGTTCATAAACTCAGCCCAAGAGTGTGCTGGCTCACTTGCCTGGAACCATCTGTATGCTTTGCCTAACGCAAGGCAAATGATTGTTCCAGGAGTAGACACAAGGATGGCTCTCAAGACATGGCATTTTTTCCTATCAGAATTGTATTTTTACGACGGTCACAAATAATATAATTTGGTTTAATCACCCAAAACAAGGAACACATTTCGGTTTTATATCCTAAAGTCCTCATTATTTTATATTTTAAAGACAGTGAGACTATCAATAGGACCTTCTTTATGAATGTTAATCTAAAAGAGGGATCTAGACAGGTAAAATAAATAAAATAGATAAGTCACTGCATGCATTTACTATTCAGAGAGACTTCTGTGCCCGCATCTCTGAGACAACTATGATCTGGAATTCAGCCTACCTGAGTTATCCAGAGAACTGCTGCAGTTTCCTATTTCAATATTCTAATATAAGAATGGGCTAAGAACAATTTTTAAACAAAGAGAACTGAGTAATAAGGCAAAATTTAGCTTTCATATTAATGATAGAATTATTTATCATCTGTTTTATATCCTATAAAAAAGGGCATAATCCAAAATTACTTCAGGGGAGTTCTCTAAAGATCAGTTTATCAAAACATTTTAATTTTTGAAAACAATGAACATCTCAGGATTAACATAGGTGAGCACTTCAAAATGTATACTATACATCTTTCCTCCTCTTCTTCACAAGTATGTATTCACATTCTCTACACCTCATTTATAGTACAAGTGATTAAAAATTTCCTTACTTAGTATTATGTGTGTCAATAGTATGGAAGAGCTCATGTAATTCTTCACCACTGAGAACACCATCTGCAAAATATGCTTTGAATTCTTCAAAGGATAATTTTCCATCATCTGAAATGATAAGAACAAACAAGAAAACCAAATAATTTCAACTTTGTACACTAGTCTGTCTTGATTTTTAAGACTTAGCACATATGCTTATGGATGTTTCTATACATACACATGCATTCAAGAAAGAAGGACATTTAAAAGTTTTTATTTTTTAAAAACTATTCAATACATCTTTAGGGCACATAGAATGTGGATGTGGGCACTCTAATTAAATATGTCTACAAAACTGGGAATATTTTTGATTGATTTATTTCCATGATAAATACTTAACATTAGGGAAGCTTTTAACTGCCTATATAAAAAGAATTTCCACACAATGAATGAAGAGCCTAACTTAAAGTACATTATTTAGATATTTTGTCTCCATGGTAGTAAGCCCACACAGAACCTGGCAGATTGTAGTATAAATACTACATTTTAATAACTGTATACCAAATAGGTACTTATATGTGACTGTGAGGGCTGTTATTATAATCTGAAACTATATATATTCTCATGTTCTGTAAGCCAGTGAATGGTTTTAAAGCCAAACACATTTTACTTACCGAGAAATACAAAATGAAATGCAGAGAATCTAAAGGTATATATATATATAGGTCTTAGTGTAAGCACTTTACACACATACTTTAGTAAAGTACGCACACGTACTTTAAATGTATGGGAGTTGGACAAAGATTCTTTTCACTTAGGGCTTTAATAAGTCGAGGAACATTTTCATCTGGCTTTGAACAAAAAGCTCTAGATAATCATAGATGGAAAAAACACATCAATAACAGGCACAATATATGAATAAGACATAGAAGCAGCAAATCTAGGGGAATGAATGTATATGAAGGGGGAGGAAAGCATCCATTCCTCCAAGCAACCAGATAGTTCGTCAGTTATCTTGGATTAGCTGTAAAATGACTGTAGGTGATGAAAAGGCTTTCCTTTAAAATGAGGGAACTCAGGTATAAAACTCCTACAATATGCTCCTACACTGTAAGACACAAACTGACAATACTCTACGAAAAACAACCGAATTTGCTTCTGAGTGGGAGAAGGCACGGCTTAATGAGATTAGATTTTCTAGATTCATTTAGATAATTTTTTCTCAAAAGGTAGTTCACAAAGTGCTTGGCGCACTGTTAAAATCCAGATTTATGGGCCCTACATGAAAATCAGCATTTCATAGCAAGCACTAAGACTGGGAAGGCAAGAAATCTGGACTACTAGCAACCTGTGTGAGTCCTCTTACACTATTACTGAGGGACCTAACCAGTGAATCACTTATTTTTTTCAGATAAGGATTTAAAGATTGGAAGTTTTTCAAAAATTCTTATTCATAAAACATACAGATCCTTGAGATTTTATGAACTCTATTTCATTTTACTTTTTACCTTAATAGCCACAATTACATGAATTTTCCAGTTAATGTTTTCTAATAGTTATGCTTGCTCAGTAGACATGGCCAAGAGGAGGTAATAATTGAGATCTGAGCTGAGCATACAATGGATTTTAGACTCCTTCACCTCTGGATCTAACCTATTTCAACCATTCAAAGACCACAGCAAACCAGTAGAAAACAATTTCATCCACTGGGATCATCAATTGTCCAATTATGCTTCTGTTTTTAAAGGAGCTATGTCAGTTTTATGTCGCATATCACTACTTTGAAATTTAGCCCCATACAGTCTACTGTATAGTCTGTATTAGATGTAGGTCAGTGCTTCTATAAGCATTTCCTTATGTTGAAGACAAATATATTGCCAGGTGGGAAAAGTGGACCTAAATCAGATCTAGGTACATGTCAAAGACAGACAAGGAAAAAATTAATCTACTCTTTAAAAAAAAAAAAAAGAAGAAGAAGAAAGAAAAACAGAAAGCAATGTACTATTTTCAACTCAGTGTTGTTTTAATTTGCACTTCTCGAATGATCAGTGTTGTTGGACATTTTTCATATTTATTTGTCATTTATATTTCTTCATCTGAGAAGGGTATATTCATCTTGGATGTCCAGTTTGGTTTGAATCTTTGAATTTGGAGTAGCCAGATTTTTTTTCAATGCTTTGTATGTTCTAGATAGAAGTCCTTCATCTGAGAGACAATTGGCTAAAATTTTTCAGCTCTGAGTTATCTTTTTACTTCATTGGTTATTTATTTTGCTCTGCAAAAACTTTTTAATAAGATGTGATCCCATTTGTGGATTCTTTCAAGTTATTTTCCATGCAGTCTGAGTTTTGTTCATGAAGTCTGTGCCAACACGTAGGTCTTCAAGATTTCTACCTACCTTCTGTCACAATATATGTAGTGTTTCTGTTTTAATATTTAGATCCTTGATCCTTTAGTTTAGTGCATGGTGATAAACATGGGTCTAGTTTTAGTCCTTGGCATGTAGACAGCCAGCTTTTCCAGCACCATTTATTAAAAAGTTTATCTTTTTTCCCCAGAGAACATATTTTACCCCCTTTGTCAAAGATAAGGTGGCAGAGTGTGCAGTGGTGCCTGTAATTTCTAATCTGTTCCACTGATTCTGAGGTCTGATTTTTTTGCAAATACTATGCCGATTTTATCACAGTAGCTTTGTAGTATAATTTCAACTCAGGGATTGTGATGTCTCCTGTCTTTCCACTGTTGCCCAGGATTGCCTTTGCTATTCTAGGTCTCTTCTGGCTCTAGATGAACTTTAGGAGTGTTTTCTCTAGTTCTGCGAGGTATGCTAATAGTATTTTGACCAGGATTGCATTAAATTTGCATAATAATTTTGGGAGCATGGCCATTTTCACTATGTTGGTTCTGCCTATCTATGAGCAAGGGATATCTTCATTTTTTGATGTCCTCTTTGATTTCTTTTTTCAGAGTACTGTAATTTTCAATATACAGATCCTTTACTTCCTTAGTTAGATTAATTACTAAGTATTTCATTTTTGTTGGATACAATTTTGAAGGGTGTAGTTTCCTAATTTCTCTCTCCGTGCATTTGTTGTTTGTGTACAGCAATGCTTTTTGTTTTTACATCCAGCTATGCTACTGAATTTGGTTATTAATTCTAGAGGTGTTTTGGTGGAGTTTTTGGGATCTTCTTTCCAGAGTTATCAGATCATGTGCAAATAATGATAATTTAACTTCTTTCATTTTTACTCTTATTCCTTCTATTTCTCTCTCTTGTCTACTTGCTCTGGATAATGGTTCCAAAACTATATTGAATAGGAGTGGTGATAATGGACACCCTTGTCTTGTTCCTGATTGTAGAGTGAAAGCTTTTATTTTTTGTCCATTTAGTATAATGTTAGCTGTTTGGGTTGTAAGAGACTGCTTTTTATCAGACTGAGATAAAAATCATCTGTTCCAATTTTCTGTAGGGTTTTTAATAAATGAGTGTTGGACACTGTCAAACCTTTTTTTGCATCTGTTGAGATGATCATGTGATGTTTGTCTTCGGCTCTGTTCATACGGTATATTACACTTATTGATTTGCATGTGTTGAACCATCTCTGCATTCCTGGGATGAATCTCACTTGGTCGTGGTGTTTAATTTTCTGGATGATTTGCTGCATTCTGCTGACTAGTATTTTATTGAGGATTTTTGCATCTATGTTCATAAGGGAAATTGGCTTATAGTTCTCTTTTTTGGTTGAGTCTTTCTCTGGTTTTTGTAACAGGGTAATATTTTCCTCCATGAATGAGCTAGGGCATATTGCTTGTCTTACAATTTTAATGAGTTTAAGGAGTACTGGCATTAATTTTTCTCTAAATTTTTTTTTATTTAAGAGGAAAAAGAGAAAAACACAAAACAAAACAAAGCGGTGTAAGGGTACACGTAATACAGAACTACAAAAAAAACATAACAGTAAGGAATCACCTGTTAATAGATTACATATTATCATCTTGAAAATAGTTGCTCAAATCACAGTATCAAAGAATACAAGGTGGACATTCAAACAGGGAGACTGCAAACAGCTGTGTTCAATGATCCAAAAACATTGATATAGTCAGCTATTTAACACCCCTAAACACACTTGCTGTTATATCCGTTAGAGCTCTTTTTCTTTTTTACAACAAAATTTACACATTTTGGATTTTAGTACTCCTTAGTGCTTATTACTTTTTGGGGGGGGAGAGAATACAGTCAAATATGGCAAAACAGAGCTGTCAGTCAAAACCAAGGATAGACATAGCACATGGTGTAGAACAGAGTACAAGGTTATCAACAATGGTTATCAACGTTGTCTCTTGTTTCCTTAAAAAGAATTGTCTATCTCATTAGATATTATAAAGTTGGACAAAACAGTAGAGAACAAGACCAATAAAACTTAGGCATTGTAAACATTACAGGACTTCCAAAGAAGACAATAGTCAAACCAGAATGGGCATCTTAGTGAATCTTATTGCCTTCAAAGTAGTTGCCTAGATCCTCAAACTTGATACTATCATACAGAATGGAACAGAGTCTAATCAGTCAAAACAAGATCGTGGGAGTATTACAGGACTTCAAAACAAGTTAATAGAAAATCGAAAAGAGTTACTATTTATATATCCTAATTTTTTAAATTTTTTCTTTAATTAAGACAAACATAAGAAATGACTAAATAATTTTTTTTAAAAGAATAAGGGGGATTTTTCTCTAAATTGTTTTGTAGAATTCAGTAATGAATCCATCAGGATCTGGGCTTTTCTTTGTTGTTAAGTTTTTAATTACATTTTAAATTTCATTGATTGATACTCAGTTACTCAGAATTTTTATATCTTCTTGATTCAGGTTTGGTGACTTGTACATATCTAGAAATCTGTCCATTTGTTATGTGCTTTCAATCCTATGAGAATAAAGATTTTTGAAGTAGGTATAGATGATTCTCTGGATTGCCAAAAGATCTGTGATGATTTCATCCTGTTTATTCCTTATTGTATGAGTTTGAGTCTTTCCTCTTTTTTTGATAAGGTTGGCTAAGGGTTTATCAATGTTATTTTATTTTATTGTTTCAAAGAACCAACTCTTTGATTCATTCTTTCTATTGTTTTCT